GCGTTAGATGCGTACGTAAATTACTTAGTAAAAAAAAAGTTGGTCGAAGAAGCAATTACGTTTTACCATACTCCAAGGTGTCCATTTTGCTTTTGTATCCTTCCTTCATATATCTAAATATTTGTCTTTCCAGTTTAGCGATAAATTGTAAGAACTTTTCGTATAATTCTAGTGTAATAACACGAATCTTGTTTCACGTCTCCTTATGATGATGCTGGGAATTAAAAACGTGTTATTTTTGTGGGTCCAGTAAACGCGTCCGGCTCGGGGCCAATTATCGAGATGGCGCCATCCGAGTTCTATGACGTTTTGTGGAGGGAGAGGAGGTCGTTCGGAGGCTTTGATTCTTCGAATTGGTGTTGGCTATACACAGTCAAAACGTATAATACAAGAAAAAATCCGGTAAATGAAATAATTTATATATTTATACATTTACAAAAAAAAAGGCGATCGTGTTATCTCCAGAAGGCAGCATTTTTATTCCAATAAACTTGTATACCTGTTCCGCATTACGACAGCCTCCTGTCGACACCGGTCTGACCAGCATCCCAAGGTCTTGAGAGTCTTTGCTCCGTTCCTCTTTGCGATAGAACGCTACGAGTCACACCTCACCAATAGGGCGTCGTGAACGTGTCACATGACTACGCACTCCGCGAGTCACAACGCCACTCCCGAAGATAACATGACACCCACGAGGTATCCGATTACCTTCGATGAATTGTAACGTACTCTGCGGTCCGTCGTATGGTGGCACGGAAGATAGAACGCACACAGCTGCGTGAAGCGCATACGTGTGACCACCGAATGCATTCGTAAGATCGTGTGTTTCACGGAAAACACGGAAGGGCACTCTACAAAGTTTTCGGAGTTGTGAGGTTTTTTTTCAATCCGGTTGCATTGTCCCGCAATTTCGTGCTATAGGAAAGACGCCAGCTGTCGTGCTAAGAAATCGAAACGACAAGGCGACATATTTCATCCTCTTATTGTAAACCGAAGAAAAACTCATATTTTTTACTGAAATAAGTGATTTTAACTGAGGAATCATAAAAGAGTGGTAGAGTCCAGTAAATAAAGAAGTCGCTGCTTCCTACTTATTTAAGACAAAAAAAAACATATAAAGATGCACTTCTGTCTATTAGCAATATCGCGAGTCTATCACAATCTACATCAAATGCAATCCAACTCAATCTACATTTTGTTTACATATATGTATGCATATACACATATATACAATAGAAAAACTTATCCTGAAATGATTCGCAGTGCTCACAAGCACTTTCCAACAGTTTTTGTATAGCTATACCATACAGTACACACCATAGCTATAGAAAAAGTCATGGAAAGTGCTTGTGAGCACTGAAAGACACTTCAAGATAAAACTTTCTATTTCGTCTGCTGAAGTCGTCGTATTTGCTTTCGTGAATACCCTCCACAACCTTCATATATTTTTGCTTCTTGTGTATATAATCTGATACAAACTCTCGGGCGCGGGCATGTCAGATATGAATTTCTCTTATTCAAAATTCCCAACGCATTTGGTTAAAAACATAGTTCCCACGGTTCTCGGGTCACGATTTAAATTGAATTTATTACTCTCTTGAGAGCGTGCATCGCGAAAAGGAACCCCAGTCCCGTAACCCAAGTTGGCAGTTGTGCCACGCTCGGGTTTTGGGATTCGGTGCGCCTACGGCCGACCACTTCAAAAGAACGGGGCGACAGATTGATTTTCTACTTGCGAGAAGCATAAACACATACGCGTCTTGTTTGCGGAAAAATCCAGAATAGCTCCGCATTTTCTGCGGCGCTTACACAACGAACAAAGAAACCATTCTTCAGTACAAACACGCGAAAGATGAAAGCCGTTTTTGCGTTGTTTTTAGTTTTCAAAAGTGCGGAAAATGTTTGTTTATGTTTATTCATATTACAAGCTCCAAAATATTTTAAAACATTTGAGGGAGCTTAAAAAACTTGCCTAATTAAAAATGTATTTTGACCGAGAAATACGTTTTTTTAGTAAACAAAAAGGGAGTGTTAGTGTGCCAAAACAAACTATTTACGGCATTAACGTTCCATGTTAACTTTAAATTCTAAATTGTTCTAGGTAACTTACGAAACCAAGAAATCCCTGAAATCTGTCGAGAAAATGATAAACATTTGACAAATATAAAAAAGAGCTCAAATACTATAAATTAATTTTAAAAAGTGTGCATTTCTGGACTCATTAAGCTGACAATTCACACAAAAAGAGTTTGTTCAAAACTATAACACAAAGTATTCGCTGTGAGAAAAAGAGGCGCAAAACTTATTCGCACGAAACAAATATTCAAAGAAAAAACACCCTTTCAGAAAGATTTTCATGACACAATAGTAAAACGACTGAAACACGAGATTGATGTTGTTTTTTAATCACCCGGTAGTTTTCAAACATGCGCTTTCAAATCATGCGACACATTAGCCAAAATATGTATATAAGATGCCAATAACCAAACGTAAAAGGAAAAAGAAAACCCCGAAAGGACATCAAGGCTTTAAGAAAAGTTGCGACAAAAGTACAAAATATTTCAAAAGATTTTGTGTTAACCATATTACAGCATCCATCTGTAACCTACTTTGAAAGAACGGCAACTATTTGTTAACAACTGATGCATTTTCAAATATTTTGAGAGAACTTGCTGAAAACAACTAAGGCATTCAAGACATATTCAATGCAGTGAGGTCAAAACATTCGAAAATTTCTGGTTTTAAAAACTTGAAGGCGTTCAATCAATGCTTTTCTTGTATCGCTCTCTGCTAACTTGATAAACAAGCAAACATAAAAGTATATTTTTAGAGGAGTTCAGAACCTTGTTTAATTAATGTGCTAAATACTTCTGGACTACGCTCATTGCTATGTAAATCCTGTTAAGTCTGCAAAAATACTGATCTATCCCTCTTCTATAGCAATAGCAAGATGAGTGTTTTAACAGCCTGAAATATGTATAGAATCCCAAGTTTCTTGCTATCCTTGTAGTTATATTGACTTTATGTTTTGTAAGATTTAGAAAGATATGACCATTGTTCCCACGAAGCAATTTTATTTTAGACTGTTTTCCGTGTCATTTGTAGGTTATATACTTATGGCTGCAATTTGACACTATACAATCGAGTCTGAGTACTTGCGTTTGGATGGCTAAGAACACAGGACGGCTAATGGCCCTCTCAGAGCGCGGTTGTCGAACTTACTCGCTACCCCGTGTGAGTCATTACAGTCAATGAAAAAGAAGCCTTATCCCCAAATGGAGCCTACACTACTGGAAAGAAAGAAGGGCGTTCATCCTTCTAGTGGAGTACTACACCTCAATGCCTTTACACGCTCATTGCCCCGACTAGGTTCAAAAGAACGAAACCCCACCCACAAAGCTCTACGTTCACTTATATAGCGCAACTCTTCGATTGACGACGTAAATCGTCCACTGAAGATCAATCATTGTAAACCACACCGACAAAGCTTTTCTCACTGGAGGACGTCAGTTCATTTTGCCGAAATGACTCTTTCCACTCAATTGGCTTCGTTTACTCCGCCTGATATAGTTTTTTTTTTTTGTCTGTGCGAGGTCGGTGTCATAAAAAGAAATTTAGAATCTAGAATCTAGCTTTTTTTTTTTTAAGTGTTTAGTTTGATGGCCCTTCGTCACGTCGTAGTCCAGGATATTCGCATTGTGTCGGCAACCCCTGAAGTCTTACGAGTGCGTTTGTGAAAGGACGTAATTGAGCAAGGTGGAACGACGGGACGTACTGACGCTAGTCTACCCTTTGTCTTCAATGTGTTCAACGATTCCGAACTGTGCTTCCAGGATTTATAATTATTCGTATTTTCGAAAGCATTTCAACGCACTGAAAGCGCACCATACTCGATGAATTTTATTAGACAGAATTTCTAGAAATACCTACTGAAAAAAGCACTTCCAAGACTAGCGTTTTGGACACGCTAAAGCTCCACTATCAATTTGCTATTTTGGTTGAGCAGCAAGCTTGGCAGTGCTGTTATTCAAAACGTTTCAGGTTGGAGTCTTGTTAAGTTTAGTTTGTTCCAGTACAAATACATCACAAATTTTTACTGATGTTGACGACTCAAGGCTTATAGACAACACACAAAATATTATGTAATAAGAAGACAAACAGCGCTTAGATTGAGATTAGCACAACGAAGAAAACATTGCAAATAATATTTTAAACATAAGTACAGAGCGCGACACTGCTAGCGCGCACAAGCGATCGCCGGTTTTTCCAGTTTTTCTCTTTGAAGCCGTAGGATGTTATCCAAGTTATTATTGCTACGGAAAGAGCTCATTCAGTTTTATATAGTAAGCGATAAAATTTCCTGCTCGATAATACTATTTATAAGTAAAATGCGAAAATGCGCCGATCTCGTGTTCGCGCTAACAATGTCGCGATGCGTACCAGAGTCTTCAGCGATGTGGTACCTATAAGAATGACTTAATATAATGAAGCAGATAGTATAAAATCTATCGAAGCAAACGATGGACCGTTAAACCAAGAATCGGTTATTTATTTATTGTTTTATTAATTTATTTGATATACTGCAAGCATTCAATATAAACGCCAAGGCAGGAGCAATCAACGCCTATAGACAAGACATTTTAAACAAACTAGTGCAATACAGGCAATTATTCAACAAAGAAGTAATTAAGTAGCGCGTTGTTAAAAATTGTTAGAGATACTGAACTCGTAGCACTTTTAGGAAGTTGGTTCATTCACTCTTTGTTTTTGGAAAAATAATGCTTTAAACAAAGAAGTTCTACGTAATCGTTCAATGATTGTAAGATTCTGTTTGTTTCTTGAAGGCCTGGCTTCGTTAAATGCTGAGTAATGGTTCAGGCACAGTCGCAAATTGCCATTAACTAAATTAAAATGAAACATTAGACGATTCAATTGTCGTCATGACGCTGTCTCATGCAGTCCTGACAAGGCATATAACTGGTAAAATGTCATGTACTCACTCTGTGCGAAGCCTTCTATTTTGCACATAAAAGGGCCGAGTATGTACCAGTCGAAGAGATGCTTCACGAGGTGGACCCACATGCAGAACATGCTAATGATGGCATCAGCCACTGCCAGATTGGTCAGGTAGCAGTTGATGGTAGTCCGTAAACTCCGGTTGAGCGCCACAGTCAGGATGACGCCCGCGTTGCCCACCACAGCCACTAGGATTGTGACTAGGTACACCCAGATCTTGAGGTACTCCACCCAGGTGAACGAGTGACCGATTAAGGCATCCAGGTCGTTGCCGAAATCACTTAGGTTCACCAGCATCACCCCAGCAACGTCCGCAATGCCTCCAGTACAGTTTGAGTCCGACATGTGCTCGTTCTTTGTTGACAACTGGAAGGGAAACGTTGTATATTGTTTAATTCAACACTGCCAGACTGTAATCTAATTTGTTACACTATCGGTAAGATTGCAGTCAGAGTCTAAAAGACATGCAAACATAGCACACAGGCAAAGCGTTTACTACGTTTGATTGGTTTAGCCGACGATGGCATATGCAGAGTGATGACGAACGCCATGACGTTGCGCTTTCGGCACTACTTGATTGTCCCCATATACTCGTATAGTGTTGGCTTGGTGTGACTTCACGGGGAAGTAAATATAGCACATGTCTGATGAAGTTACTGTACCTCTGCCATTTTGCAAAATAAAGTATTCCAGATTGTGGATAAACATGTGTCAGGAATAAAGTGCTGGAGCGTTCATTATAATAGACTTCACGCTTACTGATTCAGATAAAATTATATAGACCGAAAGTTCAATCCGTCCTCAGGTGAAATACGATAGTAATATAGATTCTTCAAAATGCGTCGACATACTGAAACTAATAGCAAAACTTAATTACTCCTATTCTTATGTCTTTTTTTTTCATTAAATATTGTGCCTTTTAGTTGTGTGCCATTATTCGAAACCAGAAGACAAAATTTATCGAAATTCTCTTTTAACTCTTTTTTTTCGGTTTCTCTTAATTAAACACTGCTTTTTACAGTGATTTATGATGTTGGCATCGTGTTTTAGTAAGAGCGACGCCTTTAAATGAGACAAATCTTAAACGAACCATGTGCAGGCTTTCCGCACCTTTATACGCTAAAAATTATATACTCATACGCTGAAAATGAAAATCGCATACACCAAAATAACAATTCTATGCTAAATATGTTTTTCCAGGATTGCAAAAAAAAAATATTGAGTTTTCCACATATATGTGCTCACTCCTGATTCAAGCACCCTCCATAACACACATTAAGATACCTGGCAGTAAATTTCATCGCATTAAGACCAAGAAATATTTTCATCAAATAAGTGCCCAAAAATACCCCTATTTTTGCTATTTATGTCGACAAGAATGTTTTGTTTATTGCCTTCATTTCAATTGAAAAACAATGGCTTTACATAACAACCCTGCATGGACCTTTCTTGCTGGTGTGGGTGTTTGTGTTGGCAGCGCCGCACCAAGGCCATGTGAGAGACTGACAGTAACGGGATGAAGGCACAGCCATAGGACCAATGGTGGAGCTCCTCGTTTGAGGGGAGTGAGGGGGGGGGGAGCGAAGAAGGTGTTACATCATCAATTACTACCCCCTTCCCCCCCTGCTCCGCGCGAACGTGGGATGAGTCCTGCGTATTAGTGCTACCGCACCTTAATTGCGTTTGATGAAATGTCTATAAGTAAAACTTCAGCTTTCGAAAACAACTTCAGCCAATTTTAATGCATTGTGTACTCATCCTTCTTCGAAGAAAATATATCTTCTGCAACAAATTGAAGAACATCTGTGAAACAACTACGTGATTTTAACAGCCCTCTTTCTTTTTTTTTTTTTTTATCGTAATTTGTTTCCCTTATAAACGGCGACCCCAGCCACAACCAATATTTTTTTTTAAAGCGCTGCTCTTAGGCGCCTGTTTCCTAATCGATCGGCGTCGCCGTCGGCGTAACCGCGCACGTTGCATTATGGGACGCCCCGCTAAATTTAGCGCAAATATTTCCCCCCTAAATTTAGTAGGATAAGTTTTACGCGGGAAAATGTTCGCGCTAAATTTAGCGGGGAAACTTAACCCGCTAAATTTCCCGCTAAATGGGAGGCGACGAGGTGAGGAGGAGGGGAGGGCACGGAAAGGGAGAAGAGGCATATGTCCTCCCCTCCGTACCCTCTCCTCCTCCTTCTCAAGAGCTGGGCTCTAATTTCGAACTAGAATTGTAAGCGTCACTCATTCTTTTTTTTTTAATTCAGTCTCCTTTTTTTAAATCTTGTTATAAAATTTTATTTTAGATTCTAAAAAAACCTCGTTACAAAATCGTCCTAAAAGAGGGCCACTCCTCTATAATCACATTAAGGTTTCCATGGCTACCGGCTGTCGTTACTTAGAGATTTTCTCGTATTGCAAGCTCGAAGCCCAGCTGTCAGTAGTGTGCTAGTTCGAATTGAAGCGGAACGCATGGCGTTTAACATTGGTGGTTGTAAATTTGTTTTCACCCCAAAAAGCTGACGTAATTTTTTCTCCCGTAGTTTGTAATTCCTAGAATGATCAAGGGTTCCGTGCGGATCGATTTCGTGTGATGCTACTAGCTTCGTTCAATGCGAAGACTAGCTAGCAGTCGTCACTTTCTGATTCGCACGCATTTTGTTGGTTGCCATAGAGTTCTAAAGTTTGTGTGTTTGGTGCTTTGTGTTTTATCTATACATTTCTACTGGAACGGAAGCTGACCCGTGAAGAATATCAAGCGGTCCCAAGCTGCACATGTTTGTAGTAACAGTATTTTCTGCTTGTGCAGAACACGCTGTGCTCTTCCGTAGAAGAACAAATTATGCCAACACGCAATCCATCTAAATACAAGGGAGCGTTAATGTTAATCCGTGTGTCGGTTTCAAATACTACCGTACGTTTCCGACATCAGAAATCTTTAAATCATCAGTAAAAGTTGTTTTGCCCACAAGCAATATTTCTTGCGCCTCAAAAAAAAAGGATACATAAAATATGGCACCATATAGTATATTTTCACAAAACGTTGGTACTAAAAAAGCAGGAAAAAGTTATCAATCGAATGTTAAGTTCGAGAATCGAGTTTAATTGAGTTGTGCATCTAAAAATAGTCTATCCAGCTTATATTTTTTTGCCTGTTTTAATAACTATGAAATTTTAAAAATATTTCGAAATCAACATTCCTATTGTTTGTTATTATTTACTTCTTCGCATCAAATAGTTGGAGTAGCCACGTGTTACGAAGCGACCAGATGACAGCCAAATTGTCACAAAAAGTGTTGTGATTTCAAAATACTCGCATAATGTTTTTAATGAAACTCTAAAATAATTTCGCCAGCTCACGCTCCACTTAATATCAAAAGGGTGTGCGAATTGGCCTTTCTCGAGTTACTGTGCCATCTGGTGGCTTAAAATGCAGCCTCCCTTTCGAAAAACCAATGGCTGCCATGAAAAAGTATTTCATTGGGAACCACCACTTTTGCAATCAATGGCAGATCACCTCATATTTTTTTCACTTTTGTTGGTGTGAGCATAAGAACTGACCAATAAAGAAGGACGACCCGTAAGCCCCTTGTTTAAATTTCCGTCATCAAAGGCTTTAGAGCTAAACTTTTACCAAGAGATTGACTGAACCGCATTCCGAAATAATAATAACAATAATACATGTCTTTAATTCGCCAACAGTTTATAGTTGGAAGGTGAAAAGGGAAAAAAAAAACTGCAACACAGTTTGACAAGTCCCGAGCCACCTAAATAGCAGTGGAGACGTGGGCACAAAAACTATTTTTACATGATTACGAAATCAATGAAAACATAGAGATCCTTTACACAAGAGAAAAATCGATTAGTGTCATTATATAATGCGAATTCAATTTGAGCAGGCTAGCATTAGTAGATAAAGCGCGGCAAAAAACAACTTCAACCCCCCAAAAATAACACTTTTCTTCTTTTTGTTTTGGTTTAAGATGAGTATATCAACACTTAGTTTCTATAACATTTAGTTTGAGATGAATACGATTTGTTCCCGTAAGCTGCTCATCGGCAGATTGTTGAGTTCTATACTTTTCCTACTGAACTAATTCAGTGTAGTCGGAACGGTGTATGATGTAGTGTATTGACCGTAACTAGTTATCACAAATGGTACTTCCCATGGTTCTACAGTTCGCGTTGAACATGCACATACCTTTTTCTTCTTTTTTTTTTGACGTTTGAGATTATGTTGAGATTGATTTTCGTCTACCATATATTACGAATATAAAAGATATTTGTATAAATCAAAATGTTGTATTACTCAAAGTTGACTGGAAACAATGTTCATTAGATAATGCAGCGTAATATGAGAAATGCTTCTTGATAGCTTTTCTGTAATATGAATATATTTACAAGATAAGCATATGTAGTGGTTCCCCATATAAGATGACCATAATTTATATGCGAGTAAAATAAGGAATTATATAATAATACCTTTGTTGTATAAGGCAAATGTGTTTATGGCGATATAAAATACCGACGACACTTGATAATTTAGATACGATGAATTTAATAGGATCGTCCCATGACAAGCTTTCGTGAAAAAAAAAACCCTAAAGTTTTAAATGTGGGTATGATTTCAATTTTCGAAGAATTAAAAAAAAAAATAACCTCGGTAATGTCGACATATATATTTCTTGTTCGAAATCAGACTGTTTTGTCTTATTGGCCTTTATTTTTAGAGCATTATAAGTACTGCAATGCTTACGCAGCGGTTCTAATTCATGCGTCGTGTTGTACTGATGTCTCGAACGTAAAAGTATCATATAACGTCTGCCTTGTAGTATTTTCAAGTTCTCTTTGTTTTGTGTTTTTCTGTTTAGCAATTTTTTTTAAAGAACGTTATTACTTGGGTACAAATACCATCCACTGAAAAAAGGATGCTGATAAAAGTTTCCGCACCGAATTTCGCAAGTGTCTATTCACAGCCACTTCATATGTAAGGAGTATTTTTTTTTTTTTGTTTTAAGACTCCGATCAATGTGAACAGAACAAAAAAAGAATTAATTTTCTGAATTCCACAGTTATATATAACAAATAATGCGACTCGAATTCAGATAAGCACAGTCACTGGTTTGCGATCTTTTTACCATGTTGGCCGTGGCTTAAAAAATTGCGCGCTGTGTTTAAACATTATCAGTTGTGTTGACATTTTCGCAAGCAATGCCGCCAAATGTAGTGCTCAACGATTCTTGAAGATTTTATTTTTTACTTCGATGTTATAGTTGATTGTACCGTGATTCCCGTGGACATCACGACTACAAACGAATAAGCTCATTGGCACTGATTCACCATTCATGCAAGGGACGTTTTCAAAAACA